AACAATCAGGAAGATCATCACCAATTTCACTTGCTGGAACTGCAAGAGGTGTGATCCGACCCCGTATAGCCTCCATGTTACCTATCTCGACCTATGGTACGTTGTAAAGTATCATAACATCTGCTTGCATGATTTCTGATATGATTTGTAGATGGGCCGGAGCCTGGCATCAACAACCTGCTCGAGAACATCTACTCGGACAACAATCGCGAGTTGCAGCATGACTTCGGTCCAAAGGTGCATGAAGGACCTATTCGTCGACGCAATACAGCCAGACAAAGCTTCATTACGCGCGACAGCAACAATCGGCGAACGGAAGCCACTCTCATTGCTCACCTCCAATCTCACACTGACTGCGTCACCGGGTTGGCTGTATCGCCAGATCATGCGTTCTTTGTTTCATGCTCAGATGACATGTCTGTTAAAGTATGGGATACAGCACGGCTGGAACGCAGTGTGACGAGTAAACCTCGCCATACGTATAGCCAGCATCATGCGCGTGTCAAGAGCGTATGCATACTGGAGGGCGTGCATTGTTTTGCTAGTGCAGCGGAAGACGGAAGCTTGCATGTCATCAGGGTACACGTCAACCAAAGTGGGTCTTTGCCGAAGTATGCAAAACTTCAGACCATTCGAGAATATCGAGTGGATTCGCCTGGCGAATATATTACATGCATGATCCACTACAATTCAGGTAAGACTATGTTTGGTTCCAGCTTGCTTGGTGAAACATATCTTATCAGATGTCGCCTCGAATCTTGTCTTTGCGACAACACACTCTGTCATCACCATCCTGGACTTGCGAACCATGCGAGTCTTACAACATATGCAAAATCCACGTCATTTTGGACCCATAACTTGTATGTGTCTAGACCGCAAACGCACATGGATTCTTGTGGGCACTTCTATGGGTGTGCTCTCACTCTGGGACCGACGTTTTGGCCTGCTTGTCAAGAGCTGGCAAGTTGGCAAAACTTCTTCAGGAAAATCTGCAAGAGTAAACCAATGTATCATCCACCCAACCAAAGGGAAAGGGACTTGGGTAATGGTTGCCATCGAGAGCTGGAAGGGTGGTCCGGAGTCTTCACCCATAAGCCTCATCGAGGTCTGGGACATTAAAAATGGCGTTCTGGTGGAGAGCTATATGACAAGGACCACGTCTACGCCAACAGAATGTGTTCCTGAACTTGTGGAGATTTCAGCAGTGGAGGCCTCGCAGAGCCCAGCTGCCGCCATTGCTGCTCTTGTCAATGCTAGATACCCGGGTGGAACTGCGCACGCCAATGCGAGCAAGAACGGAGGACCATCTCATGGCCCTCAGCGTGATGAGGTGCTTCTGGCACCCTCACATGATATTCGTGCAATCGTAGCTGGTGTCGATTTTGGACATTCCGGATCGCATAGGTCAGAAATCGTGGATTTGTCGGTTGATCCTCCCGCGTCGAGCCGGAATTCTAGGGGGTTCATGGTGACAGGTTCGGAGGATAGAAGAATTAGACTGTGGGATCTCAGCAAACTTGAGCGAACATATGTGGTGGCTGGCCCAGAGTCAGAACACGACAGGCCATCGTACAGGTGAGAGACTGCGTGTTCCACTAAAGATCTTTTGCTCACTATGACTTTAAGCACTGTGCGAGCCACAGATGGTTCGCCATATGTCAGTAACGTTGAGACATGGGCACATTCGTCCAGCTCAGCTAGCCAGAGCAATCGACCTCCGCAAAGGATGTCGATGATTACCCACAACCAACAGAACCTTCTCAGATCACATCAGGATATCGTGACTTGTTTGGCTTGCATTGATTCCCCATTCCGAGGAGGCATTGTGAGTGCCGACAGAGCAGGGGTGATCAAAGTGTGGAGGGTCGGAAGCACCGACTCGTAGTGACCTGCGTATTTACTTTGAGTACTATATCTTGTTTACTTGCTTCCATACGCTTTGCCATGCTATCGATTAGATTCTACTAGTAGTACTTGTTAATTTCACCCGAAATTTCCGAAATTTGTCGCGAAGGGTGATTCGAAGAGCGCGCGCTTGATAGTATCATGCCAAAAACAGACTTGGTCCTGACTCGGATGCTCAGATCTCTGACTCGGGCTCCCCCATATCTGACCCGTCGTAGCATCTACAGGTCACAAGTTAGCTTTCTTCGCGTTTGTTCGACAGCCATGGCTACTCCAATAGCGTCTTCTTCGCAACCTGCCCAGATACCCGCCCTCGACGGACCACATGCTGGAAATGCAAAGAAACCAAAGGAGAAAAAGGACAAAACGGCGGCGGCGGCATCTCAGTATCCACTTGAAGTGAGCAATCTTCGCAGATGTTCTTCAAACTTTGACTGACTTATGAGCAGCTCCAACCACTGCCAGGTTTTTTTGATCATCGCATCAAGATGTTCGAAGAACTGTACGCAAAATACAATGAATTTGTGAAAAGTATGCATGACATCTATCCCGAGATCAATTATCCTGATCACCCTCTCAGGTCAACCGCGAGAGGAGATCGTTATCACAATGCCTGATGGATCAGAGCGCAAGGGCACTAGTTGGGAGACTAGTCCCATGGATGTTGCAAAAGAAGTTTCAAAGAGTCTGTCAGAACGAATTGTGATCGCAAAGGTATGTGACTCCATTTCTTGATGTTGAGACTATGACATGATTCGTGCAGGTCAATGGTAATCTATGGGACTTAGAACGACCATTGGAGACTTCGTGCAAACTAGAATTATTAGACTTCGAGCACCCAGAAGGTATGCAGTGATATACACCGCCTTTGCACCTTGTGATTGATTATTGTAGGCAAGAGGGTCTTCTGGCATTCGTCGGCACATGTTTTGGGTGAAGCTGCTGAGCGGCATTACGGTTGCCACCTATGCATTGGCCCTCCAACGGACGATGGTTTCTTCTACGAGATGGCTATCGAGGACAGGTAATCGGTGATAACTAATACTGTAATGGTCAATCATTAACTTTAGCAGAGCTGTTACCAATGCAGATTACCCCGCTCTGGAGAAGCTTTCAGAAAGTGCTGTCAAGGACAAGCAAAAATTCGAACGCCTCATAGCGTCGAAAGAGGATTTGCTGAAAATGTTCAGCGTATGTCCTTCGAGATTCTCTAGAATACTCACTCATCTAATATCATCATAGTACAACAAATACAAAAAGCACTTGATCGAGACCAAGATTCCAGACGGCACATCTACCACTGTGTATCGTTGCGGACCGATGATAGATCTTTGTATCGGACCTCATATACCACACACCGGCAAGATCAAGGCATTCATGGTTACCAAGGCAAATATATAGTCCAGAATTCGCTCGATATCGCTCTGACACAGCTATTGTAGAACTCTGCATCATATTTCCTGGGTGATGCGAACAACGACTCATTGCAACGCATCTACGGTATCTCGTTCCCAGATAAAAAGCAGTTGACCGAGTACAAAGCATTCTTGGTCGAGGCTGCGAAACGGGATCACCGCAAGATCGCTCGAGAACAAGAACTATTCTTCTTCAATGACCTTAGTCCTGGAAGTTGCTTCTTCCTCCCTCATGGTACTCGAATCTATAACACTCTAATTGAGTTGATGAGAGTGCGTTCAAGCCTGAAATAGCAGGAGGTTTAACTGACATCAGCACAGTCCGAGTACTGGAAACGTGGATACCAAGAAGGTGAGTTCATAGATTATTCGAACGACATCTGGTGCTAACTAATGGGTCAGTCATCTCTCCAAACATGTACAACTCGAAGTTATGGGAGACTTCTGGGCACTGGCAAAATTACAAGGACGATATGTTCACCCTTGACGTGGAGAAAGAGAAGTGGGCATTGAAACCTATGAACTGCCCAGGTCACTGCCTCATCTTTGACTCCCGGGACCGGAGTTACAAGGAACTTCCAATTCGCATGGCTGAATTTGGTATCATCCACCGAAACGAAGCTTCTGGCGCTCTCACTGGTCTCACTCGTGTTCGGCGGTTCGTGCAGGATGACACGCACGTGTTTTGCCTGCCCTCTCAGATAGAAGATGAGATCGCTGCACTATTCGATTTCATGCAACATATCTATGGCCTTTTTGGTTTTGAGTTCCACCTTGAGCTATCCACTCGCCCCGACAATTATCTCGGCGCCATCGAGACTTGGAACGCTGCGGAAGAGGTATGTTTCCCTTCACGGCGCACCATAAGTGGTACACTTACCATCTTGGATGCATAGCAACTCACCAAAGCACTCGATAAGCAATATCCAGGCAAATGGCAAATCAACCCTGGCGATGGTGCATTCTACGGCCCCAAGATCGACATCACCATCCGTGATGCCCTCCGCCGATCGTTCCAGTGTGCCACCATACAGCTCGATTTCCAACTCCCTGAGCGATTCGACTTGAAGTACCGCTCCGCGGACGAAATGGCCAACAGTGATAAGCCCCCTTCACGTCCTGTCATGATTCATCGTGCGATTTTGGGAAGCTTAGAGCGCTTCATTGCGATCATAACGGAGCACTTTGCAGGAAAATGGTGGGTCCATTCTCTATCTGTCTTCTTTGACACTTGACTCATAACGAGTCAAGGCCATTCTGGCTTTCACCTCGCCAAGTACTTGTTATACCCGTTGCTGTGCCATACGTGAGTATGCTCTAATAGAACGTGACAATCCAATGCTGACATCTTCACAGAAAGAATATGCCCAAGAGATAGCCACTCGTCTAACCGATCTGGGTCTTTTCGCTGATGTTGACAACGGAGCAGATACTCTGCCGAAGAAAATCCGCAATGGTGAAATTGCGCAATACAACTTTATTCTCGGTAAGAAAACCTTTTTTTACATTGCATTGTCCTGCTAGACATAGCATATTCACACAACCTAGTGGTCGGACAGGAAGAACTTGATAGCCGTTCGGTTAACGTACGGAACCGCGACGACGTCGGCACCAAATCCAAAGGCGAGATGGCGCCAATTGCAGAGATTGAGCAAAAACTGTTGGCGCTGAAGAAGTCACGGAGTCTTGCAAACAAGTTGATGTAATAGTGAACATGTAGTAAATCTGGCAGATAGGTACTTGATCTGATGCGTAAAGAATGCGAAAGGGCCTCGATCGGCGGTCACATCGGATAGACACAAGCTGTAGCACAGCATATGTAGAACACGGCACTATTTTTAGAATACTAAGCTCTGGGTTCCAAAGAGTTCCATTGTCTAGACATACATCCACTATGTTGAGATACCTCCCAAAAATTGATTGCGCTTTCACCCGGAGCCGGTAAGTTAAGATGACCAAATAAGACTCATATCAAACATACCAAGTTCTGGATTGCTTCTCGCTCGGAAGGTGGCAAGCCATTGATCTGGTCTGGAGTTAAGCTGAGTACCTGCATTAGCATTTGCTGTATATCCGGGCACGTGAGTTAAATATATATATCAGGCAAGGCGGATCAGACCGACCCTTTGAGCCGGATCAATGTTTAGGTCGGGCATGGGAGCCGAGTGGGGCGGGGGGACTGCGTGTTGTGGAGGCCGATACCAAGATTGTTGTGGCGGTGGAGCTGACATGTGCGACGGGGGCTGTTGATGCGGGAACATGCTCGGTGGAGCAGTTGACGCGGGTGGAGGGCCAGACATTGGCGGAGGCATGTGAGGTTGAGGCTGGTGTATGGGTGGAGACTGCTGGTATTGCATTTGGTGGTGGGGCTGTTGAGGAATTCCTGGACCTGGGGCAGTACCACTACCCGCAGTTGCTTGTAGCATGCGCTGTGCAATTGCCGTTTTGCTCGATGGTCACTCCACACCAAAAGTATATGAACATACCTGGAGAACACTCTGGTCTACTATTTTGTTCAGTAGCAATGCTTGGAACAATGCATACGCATACTGCGGATGCGCAACAAGTAGTGCCCTTGCTTGATCCGGGTGGGTAATCACAAAAGCCTACACAAACAAGATCCGTGCACACATCATTAATCGTGTCACTCGCCGGTGCGAACCACAGCACACCTTCATCTGGGCAAGCACTTCGACTAACTGAGCTGGGCTCATAGTTGCAAGTGTCTGGCTGATTGTATCTAATGCAGTCGATCCAGGAGTTATGGGCACACCGGGCGGCAAACTTGACAAGAAAGAATTTGGGTCTTGAGATTTGGGTTGATCACGAATGTTATCATATCGGTCGCGGTCGCGATCTTGCTCACGGTGCTCACGCCAGCGGCCTCTTGGATCACTCCCATCGAGCAACTCGCCTCGCACAGTAGTCTTGCCTTCGAGGAAGGGATCGGAGTCGGCGAGATCAATTCGTAAAGGGCGACCACCAACATCGGCATTATTGAGGTTCCGCACAGCAGATGCAGCTGTCTCATGATCTTCAAGGCAAAACGCGAAAACACAGATTTGAGTCCGTGTATACCGATACGAGTAACACGGAATGCCAAGGTGAATCGAGAGAAGCACAGATTAGGCGTGATTGCGGAAAAGAGCCGGTTTGAAGTCAGACATGCATCGAGGTGTACAGAAAAGAGAAATAAATTGGATGTACCAGCAAATTCACAGAAGCCATAACCTCTAGGTTTTCCTGTCTCTCTGTCAAAGACCAGTCTAGAAAAAGGACGTGAGTTTATGTACAGGCTAAGGAGAAAGTCGAGACGGACCTGAAACCCACAACTTGACCGACCGACTTAAAGACGTCGATGAGCTGTTCCTGTAAAAAGGTTCTGTCGGAATCGTATTGTATGAAGGATAAATGACTTTCCTCCCCCATGTTGTAGGGGACATTTCCCACTGTAAGGAAGAACTTATTAGTAGAATGAATGCAACCTTTCAGTGTGCACGTACCGAAAACGACCTTACTCATTTCGAGACTCGAAGAAAGCAATGAAGCTTGAAGATTTGAGATGCTACCAGAACGGTGTCGAAAGTTTGCGTTTAAGCGCTCACGATTAATTTCGGACAAGGGATGTGACATTGTGACATTTCTGTATTTGTAATATACTGAGTCGGGAGACGGAAAGACACGGTCGACGATGCATAGCCATGCCGGCCGCCTGCAGTGTTTTCGCCAAGACTCGTGAAGACAATGACAATGAGTCACTTATTAAACAGGCTGATTCATATACTCTCGGAGTCCGACCTGGGCAACCACAAGGCTGAGTCTTGTCCCGACGGATGAGTAAGGCGATTATGCCACGACTTCAAGTTGTTGACAGCTTTCTATCATGTAGAGTCGGAGTCATGGTAAGAGTCACTGTCACTGCAGTCTTACCGGGACCAGTCGCGGACATATGGACCTCATTCACGGATCAGCCTTTAATCGGGGAATGCCATCTCGAGCTCAAGTAGGACTCGTCGCGTTGCTGTGTTAATCTGCGGATCATAGCCTTGACTCGAATGCTGCACAGCCTGTACTTCGGGTTGGGTTGGCGCCTGATACATTGATGACGCAGATGCCGATCTTTCGGCATCTTGCGATACCACATAGTATAAAAACCTCGACTCAGAGTCCAAAATCTGACTGACAACAACAAATCCTACGTACATGACCGTCACCACTTCTACGCATCACAAACTGTCTCACTCTCGAAACACCGACGAACGATTCCAAGCCTTGGATCGCGCCTTGGCAAGGAGATATGTCGTGCGTCTACTCCAAGAACGAAGATTGCGTAGCATGCAAGAGCAATCTCAGGGCGATGTATTATTCAGACCAAGGTGATTGCGTTTTACACTGATCATTCGAAAACATTCTTACGATATATTTAGAGTGGAAATATGTGATAACGCCTCTTCGTTACGTATCACGGCCACGCTTGAACTTCCTGGCATGAAAGCAGACGATGTGCGAGTCACACTCGAACGTGATAACCTTCTCGCTATATCAGGCGAACGCGTATCGAAAGCACTTTCTGACCAGTCCGCGTCTGTTAGCTTTCCTGTCAGGGAGATCAAGTATGGAAAGTTTCTTCGTACACTGGATGTTCCATCCGGTACAATGGTGAGTTCATCGTGGATCTGGAGCTTCTTCATTAATTTCTGACCCTATTCCTCCAGATGAGTACCATATCAGCGGCAATGAGCGATGGCATGCTCCTTATATCTTGGCCTCGTTCTCCTCCGGGCGCCATAACGCGTTCTCCGCAGTGATCTTTCGGCCACGCTGTGGCATCATGTTCTACCTTATCCGTTCTTCTGGACTACACTCCCAACTCCTAAATTATGATTTATATGCTATGCCCAATCTATAATTCTAGACGGTTTTCTGATTTATACACGGTATAGGGGTTAATTGTTACCATAGATATCTTCTGCTCATCAGCTTCTTGCTGCAGTTTTGATAGCCGTCCTATCATATTTGTTTTACTTGTAGCATACAGTACCTAAAGCCATCGTTCCTGTGTTGTGTCATAATGCTGGACAGGCGCAAAGTGCTTATCTGTGGCAGAGGCAGATTCACACTAACAACATGTATCACTATCAGTACAATTTCCAGCTTCTTCCAATTTAAGAGAACAATGCAAATGTATGGGACGAGTCACTACACTGCTTAATTTCACAAGACTGCGCTTTGTTCATTAAAATGCACATCTGAGAGCCTCCGTCCCAGGTCTTTCCATAGTCACCACTCGAGTCTTACAGATCCTGCATCTGGACCATCCAGACTGGGTTGAATCCAATGTACTGCTCCCAAACCAACTTGTCTAGCTTATAAGTATTATTGCCGGTGTGTATGAAGGAAAGCCAATAAGGAATGAGGTCGGAAGCGAATGCAAATTTGGCAGCGTCTGGCGTAAATGTCGTACAATCATTGAAACTAAAATATCATATCTTTGAGCCTGTGCTTTGAGTCAGAACGAATTACAATCAGATTCTTACCCGATGTCAGTGCCATCAAACACTATCGACTTCTCCGCAGCATATGCTACGGTACCCCTCGTTGAGGTGGGTGTGTTGCACCGACAAGTCCAAGGACTAGAATAAAATAAAGAGGGGGTGCCGATAGCCTGACGCTGACGCGTACAAACCTAGCGTTATTAGCATGGCCCAAGGAACGGAACCATAGCAGTGTGAGGCTCAGATTATACACCGCATGTTCGCTTGTGACCACCTGCAACCGCTGACTCGAACAGTCTACTGGATCATCCGGCGAGTCATAGCCAAAAGAACTCCCGAATGTCTGTGTCTGTCATCAATGGAATAATTCCCCTAAGTGCTAGAAAGATGATCGCTCCCCCAAAACGAGCCTCGTTGAACGTTTTGCTATAGAATGTTTTTGTTATTGATAGGAGGAGTTCGGCACCGAAATGACTCGAAGTACCCAACTATAGGTGGTACATGAGAACGAACTCATCATGACTGCTGAAACCTTGCTGTAGGGTATCCAGTAACCAGCACGCCACCTAAGCGGGACGGAATGAATTATGCAACGTGGAATTACCTCCCGTAAGCTGCGGAAATCAGTGCTTCGCGTAGGACGCACAATTTTCCCTGGACTGCAATATCCTGTGCCCGCGCAAGCACGCTGATACTTGCATCACGGAGGCATGTCAGGGAGCCCGTTCCACGCCCTGCATACGATACGCAGTATTGGGGTTGTTGGGCGCTAGATTGGGCGCTTGGCGCTCATCCAGGCGGGCGCTTAACATACCTGCTGTTGCTCAGCGCTCAAGCGCTCAGGGGTGGAAAGAGGCGCTCTGAAGACGCTCTGCGCGATAGCGCCAAGGCAACAGCTTTTAGCCCTCGTCAACGTGGCATGTGCGGCTTCACAGAGCTACCGTTGCTCTGAATGGCTACTTGTTGGGTCACCAGTGAATTTGCTGATATATGACTCGACCTTGACTGAGGCTATGGAAGCCCCCCACATTGAAGTCGCCGTTATAAATGATTATGGGGTCGGTGAACTCGGGTATGGCTAACAAGCCGAAACGGTAAGACACAAATGATATTCGGAATTTGATTGATCCCGTGAGAATACTATGTCCTTGTCACTTAACTCCGCCATAAGTACAGGCACCCCATAATATTAGAGTGCAAACTTACACGATGATCTTGTTAACGCCTTCTTTGACGCCATGGTGAGTAAATGTTGACTTTTAAGTTCAGATCTGATCCTGTTCCTCCCGCATCCACAACTAGGCCGTGAATAGAACGTTGAAGGCAATCACACATACAACCGTGACCCGTCGTTCCCCGGGGTGGTAGGCTGTGTACCCACCGTTCAAGTTGTTCCATGTGTAGTCCTTGGACGGACAGCAGTGCACGAAAACGCAAATCGCCTAGAGGGGCCTCGGCATATACTAGTAACCCAATACGGTATTTAGGGGCGTCTGTTTCCCGCATACGCCAGATTAACTGTGGGCCACAGAGATCTCGTGCAAGTGCTTAAGGTTCAAACGTTCGGAACCTTGCGCTAAGCATCGTGATCGGAGAGTCATCCGCCTTTGGGTTTGTAGACCACTTTCTGTGGAATGGCCCACTGTTCCGCGGGAGTCACCAACTCACTAGTACAAGAGCAGTCATCGAATCTGGTATGTAAGGCCCATTCATATGTATCTGGTGTATGACACAGGGTTTACTCATACTTTGAAGATCGTTTCAGGAACACCGAGGATAGCGAGATATCACCCCGCTTTCAACGGGACATTACGATATGTGCCAGGACATTAATATCTCGAAGGGATGACGAAGAAGTTGATAAGGCGGCAAGAGAGTCAGCAGAACAACAACCATTGAATGTAACATTTGCAACTACCTCTCACATATCATCTCCGCGGACTGCCATGGCACCACGAGCACCTTCCTCTCTGCTCAAGCAAGTACATCGCCAAGAAATCCAATATAATCTCACTTCGTCTTCCGCCAGAAATCCCCGTGTTCAATGCTTGGCGCTGGACTCCAAAGACATCATCCGCTCCTTCGTTAAACTCACCTCATTCCCGAAGCAACCCCCACCATTAAAATATTGATATTGGACCTTCGCTCGCAACCCATTGTCCTCAACAAACACCCGCACCGATGGGGAAAGCTCCCCTCACGGCGCCCTCGTTGTCCCCATCTGGAGGGGCAGTGCGTCATCCTCGTTCGGCTGCTTTCAGACGCGTAGTACACGTCCAAACGTACAATATGTGAGTGTCTTGGCGCTGTTCATTGGGAAATTACAGTTACACCGTGCTCACCGTATCAAGGACTTCAGCAAACGGAGACCCACGACCTTCCTTCTCCAACTCCAACTGGCTGGACACTGACATCATATATACATAATGATAGAAGTAGGAAGGTTTAGCTTGCTGTAATGTAGGAACACATTAAAAACGAATATACCGAATCAGTGATACGTAAGTTCGAATCAACCACATCGCATGGGACAGGTACAATCACGAACCGGTTAACGAGCTTGTGGGCTAAAATGGGATAAGTATCCTAGGGGAACAGATGCATCTACGAAGCTGGACCACCTGTCTTCCAACATCAAATCACTTTGCTGTCCTTGTTGGGGACTGTAGAGCGAGGAAGTGCACGGAGAATGGCAGTATAATGCTCCAGAAATCTCCCGCTGAAGTGACCCCAACCGAGGCTGCTCGAGCGTCCCTTCCCCAAGTCCATACCCCTGAACCTCAGGGATGCTGATAAAATGCGGCTGATAAACGTTTTGTTGGTCTGAGGAAATGTTCTGAGTTGCCGTGGAATTTGCAAGCTGGATTTGATGTTTGGGAGACCACGAAACCTGCTTAGAATGTTTTGTTACCAGCGCTGTCCGACCGCCAAACACCTCTAATTCGTCAGGTTCGTCCTCTGATTCAGATGGCCTTGGAGGTAGTTTATGGCTGATGTGTTGAAGGGGAGCCATCTTCGCGTCGATCGCTTTTTGATGAAGCCGAAGTAAAATTGGCTTCAGAGGCATGATAGTGAGCTCTGGTAACTGACAGATACCATCGTTCAAAACTCACCAGCGCCCTTTTGGCACGGCTACAAGTCTGTGCCGCCTCGTAATATAACGAGCACGCCTTTTCTAAATGCTCCAATGGGTCCGGGTCTAGTTTGATGCCAAGTCTTCGGATGGCGACGGTGCCAACGATAACCTCGACAAATCACGTCAATACAACCCGCCAAACAAGACATAAATTCGCGTACTGCTGCTGAGAATGCGTGGGACCATATTCGCCACATTCGGGAGCATATCACTGGCTGTAGCTTGAATTGGCTGATAGTCAATGTGACCAGTGCACTGGCACATTGGTAGGCGACCATGAATGATCGGCCTACAGGGCTTCTAAGTGGATCCGAGGGAAATTCCCCCATGGCCTGTGCAAAGAAACCTCTGTGCAAGAACATGAGCGCTTCGCACTTCAAGTCAGTCAATAGGAATCTGTGAAACCACCGCGACACGCACTGAGATCTCTGTAAGATGTTAGAACAAAAGCGACCATCTCTATGGGCACACTGTCAGGTTGTGTCGAATTCGCAGATACAGGTATAGAAAATTCCCGTATTTTGCGATCCAACTCGAGGATGGTTTGGTAGTTAGGTGGCCTTACAGCCTGAGTGGCTTCAACGACCGGTGCTAGACATTCCATTGTGTAATAAGAATTCCAGTTGCCAACTTGTGATAGATTAGAACTCTTTCCCATGCAATGGCGAAATAACCTTACATGGAGTGGGGATTTCTCCCAACCGGTACGTAGCCTCCTCAAAGTCACTCGGAATCTTGCAGTCGACGACGGCTGGCATAATCACGGGGGGTCGTCCAGTAGCCAGGCTTTGCCAGAGAGATTGAGAGAAGAGAGCCCAGAAATATGAACGGTGTTCATAGGCTTCTCTCCCCTTAAAACCCCATCGTGAAGGATCCTTATCTGCATGGTGACATTAGCCACGTATCAATGGTTGCCTTGCGACATAACATACGGAACCCAATCTAATGATGCTCGTTAGAGGTCTGTCTGATGATTGTGACACCTGTATCTCGAAACGAACCTGGAGTGCGGCTTGACCAGCAAGGTTGAGACAGGAGTAACAAAGCTCCGTGTTGCTCTCGATGCCACTCATGCCGTAGTACATACTCATAAGATGCAATGACTTAATTGTAGCCATAGACCGCTCCGTGAATACAGATTGCAAACACAAGGCGGCGCGCGCCACTCTTTGATAGT